AAGGTGCTGAAGATTTCAACTGGTCCTTTTTTTTCCTCCAATCCTGAACTTGACTTGGTTCTATACCAAAATGTTTTGCTGTTGCATGAACACTATTTGAACATTGCAAATATTGTAAGACCATTAATTTCTCACGTACACACCATTGTCTTCTTTTTTTAAAGTAATTCTAGAATGTTTTGACTTTTGGTTTCCTATAACGACCATTTTGAAAGAAAAAAAATCGTGAAATACAATACAAGTGAAACGCATTACGAAACGCACAGAATTTTATGGCATTACGATCATTACGATCTACATATATTTTTCGATTAAAAAACCCCCTCATACCAAAATACCCCTGATTAAACTACCTGGGTAGTTTACAAATCTAGGGGTAAATTTGTAAAAAACCCAGGGTAGATTAGTCAGTGCTTTACGGTACTATATCTTGTGACTTGATTTTATTGACAACATTCCCATATCAAATCAAATTTCAGATTATATGGAAGGAATTGAAAATATTACATTTAAAGAGTACGAAGAAGTAAAGGAAAATTTGAAAGAGTGGGAGAATGTGGGGTGAAGATGCAGAAAACGTGAAGGGAATTTAATTACTTAAAAAAAGAGGAGAGATTGGAAGAGCGAGTGAAGATAAGTGAGGAAAAAGATAATGAACAAATTGCATAAAAAAAATATATACAAAAATTTTTTCCATTCATTCCGTTTTGTTTATTTTATTTATTTGTTTGAGAGAATATTTATATATTTTATAACTTAATAATACTGAATATTTACATAATCATGTTCTTTTTATTCCTGCTTCTTATCGTCAGGTAGTAAGTCATAATAAATTTGGTCAACATAGTAAACGCGTTCTTGTTGATTCTTTTTTATTTTATAAATAATATTAAATATTGCAAACTTGTATTAAAGATGATAATCTGACAAGATTTATATAATCTTTGAGAAATACAAAAATCCTGGAATTGGAAAACATTTTTCAGTTATTACTTACTTTATAAAAATACAACAACTGTGAAAAATAATAGTCTTTGATAATGGTGATTACTATTTTAATGAAATATCTGCATAATAAAAATAACTGATATATTGTGGATGGGAAATCACCGATCCTTATTTGCTTACCAAAGGAGGATCACTTTCATGAATTTGATAAGAGTAACCCAGATTCAAAAAGAAAGATAAGTAAAATGCTAATTTTTTTATATTTTTAAAAGAAAAAAATATTACTTATCTATAATTCTCATTTAACCAGGATTTTAGGATTCCAAAAAGGCTTCAATAACTTACAAAAAAATATTATTTTTTTTAATTTAATTATTTAAAAAAAAAAATAAAATAAAATATTAACCTTTGATTTATTTTAGGATTCTGGAGTAAATTTTTAACATTTACAAAAAGAGATAAGCAAAAATATTAAATTTTTTTTAATTAACAAATAATATTACTTACTTCTGATTTATTTAAACTTAGAATCTGGTCTTTAATAATCTACAAAAAAAGGTAAGTATAAAAATTAAAATTTTTTAATGTAATTATTTAAAAATAAATATTAAAATACTAACTTTTGATTTATTTCAAGTTTTCAGAGTGGACTTTTAGCATCTACAAAATGTGATAAGTAAAATATTATTATTTTTTTAAATAACAAAAATATTATTATACTTACCTTCAATTATTCAATCCAAAATTCTGAAAGGATTTTAAAATTGAAAAATAATTTTTTTTATTATAATTGTACTTTTTTTATATAGTAAATAAAAGAGTGATTAATTATTTGCATATATTTATAGTAAATAAATAAAAAATTATCAATAAAATAATATTTTATATAAATTTATTTGATAATCATTAATATTGATTATTTCTTTTTTATTGATTGTTATTGATTAAATTTGAATAATTTTTTTATAAAAATAAAATTTCATATTTTACAAAAATATTGAAGGAGACCATTAGAATTAGTGTAAAACCATTTTACACATAATAATTAAAAGTAAAAGACAAATACAAAGTAAAGTGTAGTTATTGTAACAAAAATTATGAGTGTAGAGACCTTGTAAATTAGAAAATCATTTGGTTAATCATTATTCTACAGTACCAAATGAAGTTATTTATGAATATTTCACTAAAGAACTTTTATGTAATACTGATAATATGGATTCAATAACAAAAATAATAAAAGAAAACTTTTAAATTCTTCAGGTCAAAAATTATTAAATGACTTTGCAGACAGTTATTTAGAAATATAAAAAAGTGAAAAAATTAATTAGTTATAGTTAAAGCATTTACAATTTGTGAAATTTCTTGATATATTATTGAAAATCTTTTTTTCATTAAAGTTTTAAAAGAAATAAATTCTTCATATAAATCACTAACTTGTGAACTTCTTCTGATCATATATTTGAATAACAATTGGTAAAAGTAAATAATAAAGTTAATTATATTCTTAATCAACAAAATAATTTAACACTTGATATATAATTTTAATTTAAATATTAAATTTATTTAATTTTATAATTAATTTTTAATAATTATTATTTAACATTTTAGTTTTAGATGGTTGGAGTAGTGGAAAAAATCATTCTTATTGAAATTTAATTATTATAATATCTAAAAGTAAAGAATATTTATATCAATTATCTGATGAATCACAAATAGGAGAATTTATTGCAAATCAAATATCAAGTCTTTTAGAAACAGTTAGATCTAATTAATTTTCAGTAATTATTAGTGATAATAATGCTAATATTTAAACTTGCACATAATCAAATTAATTTATTATATCCACATATTTTTAGTATTCAATATATTACTCATACAATTAATTTAGTAATATAAGATGTAATGAAATTTGAGTTTGCTAATTGTTTAATTTGTTATTATAATATATTGTGTATTTTTTTAAAAACTTCTCATCAAGTTGGTTAGTATTAATATTATTATTTAACTACTTGTAAATGTGTTAAAAGTATATTATGTTTAGAGTTAATTTTAAAAGAAGAAAGTATTATATTTGAATTTTTTTTATTATTTTAATTAAAATTAATTAATGAATTAGATTTATAGTCTTGTACTAAAAATAGTACATTTTGTAAAATTCATAAAGAAACCAAAACTTAATAAAATTAAATAATTTAAATATTTAAGAATCAATATATATTGCTTTATTCAAAAATATAAATTTTATTTTTATTTATAATGTAAATATCGAGAAATAATAATTTTAAAAACTATCATTTTTTAGCAAATATGGGTGTACTAAATTTAATATACTATTAAAAGTTATCAGGTGACTCACTATAAAAAAAAATTAAAATATGCTTTTAGAAAATGATAAAATAAACCTTGGATAATAAATAAAAAAATTTTTAACCTTATAGTATATGTCAGATGGATATGCTGAGCCCAACAATCTGTACACATTCCTTGTGAAATTATATAGCTACAACAGGTAGTTGTATGTTTATGACAATTTATATATCGGCATTGAATATATTTATTGAGTTTTGAGGTTACCAGATCTTTATTAAGGTTTGTAAGATGATGTTCAAAATTATCTGAATCTTTTTTCGTCTTTTTTTGGTTCGATCGGTAATTGTATTGTCTGAATAACAATTGAAGATCAATTTTGCTAATTGCTTACGGAAATCAACGTGTTTCATATTTTTTTTCCTGGAATAAATCTACAATATGCAGAGAAGCTATTTGTCTCTGCAACTGTAAGATAAAGCAAAAAACATGATCTGCAGAGCGTTTTAATCCAAGAATATCATGATAAGAAAGTGAATTATCACGCAAATTATTAAACATGTTTACAGCTGATCTAAATTCATTATACTCATCAAATACAATAGGTCGATGGAATGTTGCATTGCCATAACCCTTAATATATCGATTTACTTCTCTTCTGAGAGTTGTTGTAGAATAACTAGCAAAAAGTACGATATCTTTGTGATCATGAATTGAATATACAGTTAAGTCAACATCACTTATTTTGCAAACTCGACTAATAGATAACCCATATGTATTTTCAAATACATCCGTAATATCATTAGGGATATTTTTAGGCCAATAACGATGTTTTTTTATCTGTAGGATAGAATAAAGACCATGTTTATATAAAGTAATGCATGCATCTGTGCTATCAAACCACGAATCAGCGATAATTGTTCTACCACTATAAAACTATGGTTCTATTAATCTTAACATAGATGCAACAATTGCTGGAATTGCTGGATATTAATCTGAAAAAATTTTTTTCATAGCATATTCCGAAGGTTCTGCTGGGTCTAATCTTAAGAATAAATTAATTTGAGCATCTGCAAGAGCTTTGAATTCACATCTAATTGGATGCAGCTTTCTGGGTATTTTTCGTTGAAATGGACCTTTATCAACTTTGCTTATCCATTAACACATTGATTCATCCATACAAAGATAAGGACCAGGTAGGATAGCTTTTATAAGATTTTCATTAAATTCATCATGAAACTGCCATGCAAAATGAAAGGGATCATTATTTGTTGATATATCTGTTAATGTCAAATATTTTATGATATTTCGAAATCGTTGATATAATATGTATTGACCAAATGCCAGTGAAACTCTAGCTGTTTCTTGTTTAATAGACCAATAATCGCAAATATTAACACATTTTACATATATCATAATTGTTAAAATGCTAATAAACATCATAAATTCTGGTCATGTTAAATCATTTCACCCACGTTCACATTCACGTGCATATTTATTTGTAGATGGAATTACTACTGATATTATAAAATCAACAGGTATAAAACGCTCAAAAAACTGTCTAGGTGTTGCATTAGAGATATCAGCAATGTGTACAACTGGTGTACTAGAATAGGAGCGAAACACTTGACGAGAATCAATAGTAATAATTTTATTAGCCCATTATACATTATTAATGTTACAAATATCTATAGCTTCTTCATTCTCAAAACTATCATCACTATTACTTGAAATATCCATTTCACTACCACTTATTTACTCTTCATCACTTGTATCTTGATTGGTATCTGAACTAATTGTAGGAAAAGCCACAAACTTTATACAGCCTGCTGAGACCTCAATTTCATTTTCTGGTTAGAATTAAGGCAAATTATTCAGCAGTTATTACCTGGTGCTACTTGTAAAACTGTTGCTGAAAGTCATTTAGTTTTTCATAATTCTCCCAAAAGTGCTTGAGCGATGTTTTCACACACAACAGAGCCCAAAACAGAAACCTTGGCACCTTCTCTAATATTTGAAGAAATTCGTCCTATTTTAAAGGTTAGATAAAGGAAGAAAAATTCAAAATGAGGAAAGAACTTTTATATTCCCATGCATACCTTTACTACATTATACTAATAAGCATTCACATTTGAATAATACAGCAATATTTTGCAACCGGTTTCAATTTACATTGAGAAATTACCTTATTTATTGATGTACAAACCATATTTATAACGCCCACTTACTTAATATTTTAACCTTTTTAAAAGATAGCTGTTATTCTTGTGTTAGTTATACTTACCATCAGTTGAAATCTAGCCAGAATTATATAATCATATGATTGATTTTTCACCTAAAGAACAAAATTAGAGTATGCATAATAATTTCCTTTTTAAAGTTAGTAGATCTACTCCATGCATGATTTCATTTGATTTTGTCTCACATATAACTCTGATGAGCCTATGATATTTATTATAAATACCCTCTAACATAAATAAGTAGTTTATTAATTTTAAACCCCTATTATCTATTTAAATTGGTAGAAATTTCAGTTTATTTTCCATCATAATTTAGTACAATATACTTAATTTAGTACAGGCAAATCCAATCCATTAATAATTAACTAATTTACTAACTTTATTTATTAGATAATTCAAAATCATCAAGATCTTGCAAGTGATTATATTTTACCTTCACAACTTTATTTATATAAAGCCTTTTAATGTCATATAAATCTGAATATGATATTTCACTTAGATGATAAGAAACAATTGAACCTGAATCAGATTATTTTCAAGAATTAGTTTTAAAGATTTTGGCTATTATTTCAAATAGTGCTTCTTGTAAAAGAAATTTTTCATTGCTTAGTTAATTAATAAATTATAAACATCTTTAACTAACTGTTAAAAATTTGAAATCAATTGCAAAAATTTGTTGTTTTTTAGTAGTAATGATAAAAAAGAACTTTTTTATTTTTCAGTAAATATGACTAAAAATTGAATTTTACAAGTTTTATATAAAGCAAATGGACAATTATTAAAAAAAGAAGAAGAAAATATTAATTAAGAGAATTATACAATTTATAGATCATCATTCTTCAAATATAAGATTAGCAACTGCTGCTTTGAATTTATTTTTGGAATTATCCTTACAATTAGATAAAAAAGATTTTAATGAAAATTTAGAATATAGTTTTAATGATAATTCCTTTTCTAATTCTTTATTAAAAGAAAATTTTAAAGAAAAAGAATTAGGAATTAGAATATAAATAAAGATATTGGTATTTTTGATTAAAATACTGATGATTAAGTTTTAGATTTATTTTGAAATTGTTTATAATAAATTTTTAATTTAATTATTTGTTTATTATTATTTATTTATCAAATAAAGAACAAATAGTATTGCTTAATAAATATTATTTTAATGTTTAAATTATAATAATAATTAATGATTTTATGTTAAAACTAATATTAGTTATTATTTAAACCTTTTGATAGTTTTGTTTAAAAAAAAGGTTTAATTTGTGATACGTATGCCTAGTAATGTGCATTTTATGCTTCCAATGGTAAAAAATTTGATTGGAAGCTTCCAATCCAAATAATTTTATTAATAAATTATGCTTTCAAACCTTCCAAAAGTGCTTCTAAAGATGCTTCCAATCTTCCAAGTGCACATCACTGCGTATGCCAATCAGTGATTTTAATATATTAAATATGAGAATAATCGACATATATTTTTTGAATGCTTGTTAAAATCTGCTAATTCTCTCTAGCTTAATTTCTTTACCACATACCCAAACATAAAAAATATATGATTTTATTAATTTCTCATAGTACTTAGGATGAAAATTTGCATTTTGGACCTTTTTGTCATAATTGATGACTTTTCTAACCCATTGATAAAACAAATAATATAATTCCATTTTATCTAATTCAGTTGTATTTCAAAACATTAGTATATTAAATGAACATGAATTTATTACTGAGGTAGTTCAATTCAACTCTACTTTTAACCCATTCCCTGAATAAATTTGTAAGTGTGATAGGGTTTAAAGTGAGATATATGAAATAGCAATAGTATCTATTTCTTCAGTATATCGTGTTCTTTTTAAAACAGGTATAAAACTTTCAGAACAAGAAGTTCTGGGATTTGATACAACAATCATTACAAACGAGTTATTGTCAGATTTACTATTTTGGCTTTATAAATTTCAACTTGTGAGTCTTCGAATGCTCTAATAAAATTATAACTAATTTAGCTAGCCCTGGATTTAAGTTAGCTTTTATATATTAATATAAGAAAAGACAGGCTTTATTTTATCAAAAAATAGATAAAAATCATTATAAATTAATAATATTTTATGGACCTGATACTGTATATGTATAAACTTTATTGATCAAAATCTGAATTTAGTTTGGTCAAAAATTGGAATACTATAGCAATATAATAAAAAACAACTTTTTGGACTAGTTAATCAACACATCAAAAAGCTTATACAGGCGGCTTGAATTCCATTTTATATCTTAGATAAATAGCATAATAAAGAAGTAATAACTAACATTTATAATTATTATCTTAAACATCGTGTATTAGCAGAGATAAATTAACATCACTTTTTTTACAATTGGTTGAAGTAGTCAAATACTATTATAGAATTAAGATCAGCTTTGCAGCTGATTTATCCAATGGAATATGAAATTGGTAACTGAGAATTCTGAGCCTGAAAAGCAATGCTAAAAAATGTTGGTTGTTCTAATGTTATCCCATATAAAAAAGATCAATAAGAGGTAACTGTTAGTTTCAATAAATATTATTATTGATATATAAACTTAATTGTCAAAAATTGGACTTCTATAGTTTGAATTTTGATCTCGGTCTACCACTCCAGACAATGATAGAAATTCTTTGACCTTATTATACAATCTTGGATTTATCACACCAACTCCATCATAATCCACAAATATTTTTCAAAATTCTTTTCAAAATTCTTTAGATATCAATAAATGTGGTATTGATAGATGCTGATAAGTATTATCTATAATTGCTAATGATTTTAAATATGAAGATATTAAAAGAAACTTAGGTGTAAATAACTAGTTTGCATTTAATATAATTAATTATTAATTCCACTTTTCTTGTTAAGCCTATTATTTCTATTAGGTTTCAAATAATGTGATTTATGCTGCACGAAAGCATGCCTGCCTTTATGATCTTAAAGGATTAATCACTAAAAAACCTATAATTAGACACGAAAAAAATATCAGTAGAAAAGAATATATAATTATAAGCTTTTTTAATGGATAAAGCTAATGTTATAATGAGCTCATATAAAATTGACTCTATCACAAATGAATTAATACATTATCTAAAAAACTCGAAGGATGTACTTTGAAATAAATTTCATGAGAAATATCTAGATGAAATGCATTGTACTAATTTTATGCTAAGTTGGCAAGAAATAAATACATATATCAAGAGGATTTGGGTAGATTATGTTATACATATTCACAATATAGTTATAAAATCTTTTCAGATCTTGTCTTATTAATTCAAAAACATATAATAGAAGTTACAATTCAGGTATGTAAGTATTTAAAATAAATGTTATATAATTAATTGCTAATACATACATATCTATTGATTCTTATAGAAACAGTTATTATTAGAATGTAAAAAATTGAAATGTTTTTTCAAACATGATTATAAGCAGCATTTTCATATTACTTCACAAGGAATAACCTTTTATGATACTTGTATTAATCATTATTTTTTATATGCATTTGGACAATGTTATGAAACTCATACTCAAACTTGTAATGATTGTTAGACTTTTTTTCAATTTTTTGATATATTGATTACTAATATCAATATTTTGAATCATGAGGAATTGGAGGATTTGTGTGATCACCTACTTTATTATTTAGCTCATCAAACAAGAAAGGTATATTTAAATGCACAATCTAATATAAATTTGTTGAATTTAAATGAAAACTGCTTTAATATTAATAGATTACAAAATAAAAATATTACTTAAATCAGCACGAGAACTAAATAAAATTGGTTTGGTAAAAAAGGTTGGTCTCTTCATTCAATTCTTGTATATATCATACAATTCAACTTGATGAGATTACACATTCAGACATTTAATCACTAATTCACAAATATGTATCAAGATTCATGGTTTACAGCATTTTCACTTCATGCAGTAATGGAGGCATTAAATCTAAAACCCAAATCAGTAATCCTAATGTCCAATAATAGAGGTCATTATCATAATGCTGATCTAATAATGATAATGGAATATTAGTCAGAATAGTATAAAATTAATGTAAGCAAATAAGTTTTTTTAGAGGTAGAAAAAGCAAATACTACTATTGATTCTCATTACACACAGGTATGATAAGATTATTAGTAAATCTACTTATATAACCTTTATCTAATTATTGACATCTTTTCATAATTGGATCAGATATCACATCTAATCAATTGATATATTCATTTGGGCTTTGAAGTAGCAACAGAACAGGATATTGAGAATACAATTAAAGGAATCAAGGGAACTTCTATTGTGAATTTGAATCCTAATCAGAATAGAGATAATATAACTAGTCAATAAATTTGTAAATTATTAATAAGAAGTTTGCATTAATTTCAAATTAAATATAGATAATAGTAATAATACAATACCTGAAAATTCCAATTGATTTAAGTGGTAATAGCTAACAATATGAGAGTTTTCTGAATGTATTAAAGTACGA